TACATACAACGGGTATCGGCTTCAAGAAGTTCCTGATAGCTTAAAGAACAATTACAAGCTATATAAAAAATGATTTAACAATTTAACATCATACACATCTGATACAGATTGTAATTGGAGCTTGAAAAACCTGCAACTGACCATTCAAATTTTCTGATGCATTTGGTTTAGATGGCTTTGCATATGAATGACAACTCTATTGTGCCTACTACGCATAAAAAAGAACTTCCCAGGAACCACACCGGGCATATCCAATCCCGACCTCAGCTTAGATGTACGTAGAGGATCTTGAAAAGGGGAAATAACCATTTTAGCATTTAAAAGATTATGCCACTTTGAAACATATTCTATATAGGGTACATGTTATCACTTTGAATGAAACACAAAGTGAAGGATTAAAAGTTTCATTTCGCTTCTTCTTGTCATTTCAAATTTGCTGATTTGTGTTCTCCTCAGACATAGAATAAAAAATTTCACAACTTGAATGGAAACCAAAGCATCTGGTAATGTCTATTTCAAAATTTATTGCCAATTCTCATAATACGTACTTATGTTTATTTCTTATACGTTTTATATATCTCCAGAGTTAATTAAAGTGGCGGCTTTCAAGGTATGCTGTTTAAGTTATCTTTATGTTGGTCATTTTATTTCTGTACTATTTAGGTTTCATATCAACGATAGTTCATACATTAGCGCTGCTAATGTAATCTAAATAGTAAGGTAAAGCTTTGATTGCCATAGTTTGGGAACAAGAAAGGTGACTGGGTGTACTTTCAATATTACTAAAAGTGTTAACCTCAGTATGTATTCCACAAAAAGAGAAATTAGTTAAACATTTTTTCAGTTTAATGAAAAAAAAATTATTCCCAATTGACTGTAGTTCATGAATGACAAAAACAATGGTTTTTGCATCCAAACTTGCTACTTTTGTTTTTATCCTCAAAAACAAAATGATGGTTGGCTTCATTCTTTCCTTCTATTTTTACTTAGTTTTGTAGCTTAAAAGTATATCTTAAAATTGTGTCGAGGCTGCATGTTCTGAGTATCCATCTATGAATATGCTAAGTTAAATAGCCAAATAAAAAATGAAACAACGCTACTACCAATAGGTAAAAGGAAAACAACAAGGTATCAAAGGATTTAAAACATTTTAAGGGTGCAACTTTAACTTTGTGGACGGGACTTGGTTTTTGTTCCTTCATAAACTTGTGTTCTCATTTATGTTAATATTAGTATGGTTGATTTATTTTGCTCCCTTCATATTGGTCAAATGTGTTTTGTTTATTTATACTGTACTTTCTTTATTAATTTATGACCAAAGTGTTGTGTTTTCCTCTATTTTCCCCTGGACAGCCTGCAGGTCACTTCGCTAGCCCTTCTTTTAGTTCATGTGCCTACCATCCCTGTTATTTACTTGGTCATTTCGGGACTATATTCACTTTTACTATGCCAATGTTTGTTGCCCATCGTGTGCAGCATGCCTGAGGACTGCCGCAATCCATTATCCTGATGTTATGGGAAGCTCCCTGGTTTGGTGCATGCTCAACATCCAGGATTTTGACAAAGCGGTAAATTCATATACCTATGATCTTTACTGTTTCAATGCTTGCTAGGTGTCTAATGCGCGGGCTGATATCTTTTTTTCCTTTCCCTTTAGGAAATCCCTCCTTGCATGCACCGCCATCGGTTTGAAAACACCAAAGCAGAGGTGGTCTTGAGGAATGGAGCTGGTTCTTGGCCGTTTCCCGTGCAAGCCTACAGCTTCAGAGATGAGTTTGCCAATTTCTTGGTGGATAATGACATTCCCTTTGAAACCTACATCCTGCTGCGACATGTTGGAAATTTCATGTTTGATGTCCTCATGTTTGACGCTGAAGGCTTCTCGCGAAACTTGGGTGAACCCCCCAATGCTGCCTTTGACCCCGCGCTTCCTGCAGGTATACTAACCTGCATATTCAGAATAGCTTTTCATGTACAACCTCCAGAACTGTAATACTTTGCAAATTTGTATAATTGTTTGTATTTTGCTTGCTTCGCATATCATTTCTTTGTTTACGTGCAATCTGCGTTTTTGAGCTGCTCCTACAGAAAGTTGTTTCACCCTCGATCATTTCCTTATATCCCCACAAAAACTGCAGCGGTACAATCTCTTTTGTATAGATTGTCATTTTCATTTCTCTTCTTTTGATCCAGACTGACTATTCTTATCGTTACAGTCAACATGTGAGGAGTTCTTGAATACGTGTTGTGATAGCAAAGGACGCGTGCTGATCGTGCGCGGCGAACAAGAGGACCATTTCCTTGGTAGAGAAATAGACCTGTTGCAAGTAATTCAATTTACTATCCACATTAACCCAGCTTGCAGCCTTGCGTTTTTTAAAAATGGTCATGCCAGGGTGAGACTGCTTGCCATTTCAGCATGCGGCGTTGAAGAACCCCCCCCCCCCCCCCCAGAGCCACACGTACGAGATCGGAAGCCAAGCTTGCACCCACAACTTTGCCCATGCTTAAGTCCTCTTTGATATTGACATGTGATTCATGAATTCTTTATGGTTAACATGTTCGGTTCCCAATATCCTGCCTAAACAATCATTCTAGACTGCTTTTCTTGATGGAACAATCAAGCACTTTACTTAATTCACAATGTAAAATTGCGTTTTTTTTGCTTTTTTTGTAGTTAAACTATTACTTTTGGATGATTGCAATGTTAACCTGCTGTTTTTTGCTATTATTCCTCGATGTTTTTCATCATGATTCCCTGATCATTTTCCGCCATTGGGCATTGACCCTCGCGCAACGCGCGTGCCAAAGCTAGTTGTATGAAAAATTACCAAAAGGTTGAAAATTCGTAAACCTCAATATTTGAGTTTGCTTCCCCGTTCCGCCGCCTAATTTTGCATACTCCACGGGGTGCTTTGCCTTAAGATGCCTTGCGGCGGATCCGTATCCGCCGGAGGTCTCCAAGCTATAATTTTTGTTGCACCACTTGCAAGTTGCGTACCAAAACCCAGTTTGGGCGTCCTTCCACTTATCAAAATTATTTTGCATTAGTTCAGATTTACTTTTTTTCTTACTGGGTTGGGATGAGGTGGGCTTGTCCGCCTCGTTGTGGTTGCCATCACCATCGCCCGTCTCCGGTTCAAGTTCATCCGCATCATCATCCTCGAGCTCATCTTCGTCAATGGTCGTCGGGATTTGTTCTTGTTAGAGAGAGCGGTTATTATGTCGGGCCAATTCTTGTTGTAGTTGTTCTTCGGACATCGCACTCCATCCCTCCTTTGGTAACCCGTTTCAAAATCATCTCGGCTTTGAGATGAAGAGCCGGCAAGTTCTTTACCTTTGCGGGACTTCTTCCTCCCAATCTCGTTCCTTCGGTTGCGCTCGAGGTTACCCACATCAACCGAATATCTACCACGTCACCTTCCATCTTAAAAATGTAACAAATATTAATTTGCAACAAATATAATAATGAGTACAAAAGTAATGCAACTAATTAAAATTAATACTTCAAACTAATTTAGTGAAAACTACTTTAATAAAATGTGAAGTACTTTAATTAAGTAATGAATTAAAGTGTGACTCTAAAATAAAATTTAAATTCGAACTAATCAATACTATTTTTAATAAATACTTAAAACTAACGAGTGTGACTTTAACTAAAATGTGAGTAATTAAATTATAGCAACTTTTCAAATACTTTAATTTAGTGAAAACTACTTTAATAAAATGTTAAGTACTTTAATAAAATTAATTGAACTACTCTTTGACTATAAAATTAGCAACTTTTTTCCTTCAAATATAAATTCAAACTATTATAATGTGACTTTAACTATAATGACAATTAACTAGTTTTTTAAAGTAGAGACTAAGGTAGCAATTAATGGGAATACTAATTAACTACTTTAATGAAAAATGTAACAATTAGTGGGAATACTAATTAACTAATCAATTAATGTTAATACAAAATGTAAGTAATAAGACAAATGTATGAATGTGTATACTAATTAATGGGAGTAAATGAGTAATAGAATGATTTTAACTAATATTAATTAAAGTGTAACTAATATATAATATATTGTGTAAGTATATATACACTTAATATATTAATTAGATGTGATAAAAGTAATATATTAGTAAAAAACGAATATATATACTTAATATATATATGCTTAATATACTAATTAATATAGTTCGAATTAATTTGATATAACTCCAACTATATTAGTAGATAATAAGAATTGTATATAAGACTTTATTAGACTTTATAATAATTTGTAACTAATATATAATATAATGTTTATAGTATATAATATATAAGTATACTACTATAAGATGAGTAATACACTTATATTTAATACTTTAATATATAAAGTATAAATTAAGTAGATGTAGAATGTATGTATTAAGTAGATATAAGTAGATAATAAGTAGAGATTAAGTAGATAAGAAATATAAGTAATATAGTATATGTATAGATAATTAATATATAAGTAGATATAATAATTGTATAAGAATTAAATAGTAAAATAAAATATAATGGAGAATAAGAGAATTTGAGAAGATGAAGATGGAGATGAGTAGAGTGTAGAGAGTAGGATTTAGGAAGAGTATCAAAGATCTAAAGAAATTTAAAAAATTGATATACTTTTTTGTAATAACTAAACTACAAATGAAAATGTTATACAAAAAAAAAGATACTCCATAATACTCCCTCCGTATTTTAAAGTTTGCTAAACTTTCCTTTTTGGGATGTATTTAAAAGTTTGCTATACTTTCCTTTTTGGTAAGTTTTTCTTTAAAAATACTCAACTACCCATATTTTTTCTACTATTTATCTTTTTTTTCATACTTCTACATTCTCTTATACTTTTTCTACACTATTCATTAACCCTACTATTTCTTTCTTAAATAATGTGTCTAAAGCTATTGTACTGAACTTATAAATACGCATGGAGTACAAGTAATTGACATCTTGTGTGGTACACATTTTCCAAAAAAAAAATCTTGTGTGCCAAGGACTCAAGGACTCAAAGATGCAAACAAATCCACCGACTTTATAGGACACTAATTACTCGTCTCGCACCCAGCCTGACCAGCGTTTGATCCGTCACTTGAAACATATCATTGGCCACTTGATTGAGATCTCGCTTGCTCTGTGATCTTCAATGTAAGTGCCAGAAGACTGATTTCACGCGGAAGGATTGACTCAGTGAGTCCAATGATGGGTCGTGGTTCAACAATTCTCCTAGTCTTCTTGCTCTCGCTTCTCTTAAATGTCGCCGTTCACTGTAAAACCCTCAAGCGTGACGGTAATTTCCCACCCCCCTTTATGCCCCTCCTTTTAGCCACTTGTGTTGATCCGCTGAAACTTTTGCATTTCAAACAAGTACTCCGTAGTTTGCTATTGTTAGAGAGTATCTACTGTGTTTCAGTAATACCTTTTTGATTGTCTCGAAGTTCATGTTCATAATGTGTTTCTCTTACACTGTTTTGAAGAATTCAAAATTCGTTTCTAAATCCCCGAATTTGTTCTGAGGCATTAATCTTAAGGAATAAATAATTGATGAGAGAGAATATTTAATGGATATAATAAATCATGGGAATTTCTAATTGATAATATGAATTTAAAATCCTATATCCATTTATGCCTAGATTACTAATATCTTTTGATGGTTATGCAGAAATGATTGGAAATCAATTTTAGTATTATGCTTTTAGTATTTATCTAAGAGTCTTAGATAAAGCTGCTGAGTTTCAATGCATACCTCTCTGCTGTGAATGTATTTGTGCCTTTGTGGTGAATGGTGTTGATAAAGTTTGATTTTTTAGCAAAGGGAATTAGTTTTGTTATAGTGGACTAATCTTGTATGGTCCGCGGGTGTAGTGAAAGCTTTGAATGAGATCAAAGCATCTCTGGGATGGAGGGTGGTGTATGCTTGGGTTGGAGATGATCCATGCGGAGACGGTGAATTACCTCCTTGGACAGGGGTAACATGCTCCACCGAGGGTGATTATCGAGTTGTCACTGAATTGTAAGTTGTTCCAGTATACGTCGTATGCTTGAATTTTTCTACTACTTTGCCTTTTAACAATCTGTTTATGCTTCAGTTCAACATTAGTTTCCTTTTTTGAATCTTGCAGGGAAGTCTATGCTGTTTCAATAGTAGGTCCTTTTCCCACAGCTGTAACAAACTTGTTGGATCTCACCAGGCTGTAAGATTTCTTTCATAATAATTATTTATGCTTGTTAATGCTAATTGCCAAGCAGCATGATAACTCTAGGTCTCTAGTATTGAGGGAATTTGTTGGGCGTATCCTTACAAACACATATATGCACAATAACAAGTGATTTTTTTTATGACAGGGATCTGCATAATAACAAGTTGACTGGTCCCATTCCTCCTCAAATTGGGCGATTGAGACGTCTTAAAATACTGTATGCTGTTTTACATATATCTTGTTCAAGTCTCTCAATTTGTGGTTTATTGTGCATTATGTGATTTAGCTTTATAGCTTTAAACTCTCTGGCCTTTGAATACACTAGATCAACATCTTGCTTCCTTATTGAATATCTTTGTGAGAATATATTCTGTGAAGAATGATATAGTTCATCATGACCTTATGTATTTATGAAAATGCCACAAAAAGATTATACCTATTTAGGGATTCTAACTACTTACTGAAGTACTTCGTATTTGATTTCTTCCAAATATGAAAGGGAACCTCTAATCTTCTTCCTTTATTTTACTTCAATTTCTTCCAGTAACTTAAGGTGGAATAAGTTGCAAGATATCATTCCTCCTGAAATAGGTGAACTAAAGAAGCTAACACATCTGTAAGTTATATACTGTTTTAAGGTATCCGGTTCTGTAAAACTTATATGTATTTTGGTACCATCAATAAATAACTGATTGTGTTGTGGGACTTCTTCAGCTACCTGAGTTTCAATAATTTTAAGGGTGAGATCCCCAAGGAAATTGCTAATCTTCCTGAGCTTCGCTATCTCCATCTTCACGAAAACCATTTCGTGGGAAGAATCCCACCTGAGCTGGGAACTTTACAAAATCTTAGGCATTTGTAAGACTCTACTTCATCTCCTTTTTTTATCTTACAATTTACAGTGTGTATTTTGTTCTGGAACTGTGTTGATTTTTCAATTATCTGGTCTAAACTAACTATAGGGATGTTGGTAACAATCGCCTGGTGGGGACAATTCGGGAACTCATACGCATTGAAGGATGCTTTCCGGCTCTTCGTAACCTGTAAGCTTATTTAAATTGGGACTGCCAAATTCTGCCCCACACACGATATTCCTTATTAAAAAAGTAATGTTTGGTCAAAAGAACAACTTTTTTATTTTGACAAGGTACTACTCTTGCAAGTTCCAAGTAATTATACCATGCGATATTTTTACTCTTTTTTGGGTTCATCTAAATTTATCATATTGAGCTTGTTTTTATTTTTTCAAAATAAAATGACATGAAAGATTAGTCCCATTTTATGAAATCGGATTTTCAGGCCAAAAAACTTTTAAAATCTGATTTTAATTGGCTGATTTTATACTTTTGATTATGGCTAACATGATATAACGTTTTACAACCATTGCAGTTATTTGAACAATAATTATATTACTGGGGGCCTTCCTTCACAACTTGCAAATCTGACTAATTTGGAGATTTTGTAAGTATCTCATGTTTATGCATCAACTGTAGTGTGTATTCAAGAAGCAATTGTAAGCTACAAGCTTTTTTCAACTATATTTATATTTTAGTATCTGACATTTTATTGTCATGTATGAGAACAGGTATCTATCATACAACAGAATGACTGGTATTATACCCCCAACCATTGCTCGTATTCCTAGCTTAACATATTTGTAAGTGTTCTAGTCTCCCAGTTTTATGACAGCGTGCAATGTGTAGCCTTTCTTTTTATGCCCATCATTTTTGTAAATTTAGTCCATTAATTGCTGTGTTAGATACAATCAGTTCTTCCCTTCAAAGTAACTGTTTACCACGTTGAATGTTGTGGGAATATTTTTGGCATTCTATGTTTCTAGGATCGACTCCATAAACTGTATACTACAAGGCAATTGTAATTTAATGTCAATAGTAAGGAGTTAACGACTCAGGGACTAAAATTAAAACATATGAAAGACGGGTACGGAGTACCACATAACAAAGTATGTCAGATAATTGGAAGACAAAGAGCTACTATCCATAATAAACTTTTGTGGATCAGAAGCCCTTATAAATTTATGGATGCTTCCAAGGATATGCTTTTTAAAAGATGTATGAGTCAATAATTTTCTCTAAGACGATTCTTATTACTCATAGTCAATGCTCATAAGATTAGATAGTAGATATTTGGCATTTCAGCTATAATAATGCTATATGTATTAGTAGTATTAGTAAACTAGCGGATTCTTATAGAGAAATTAATTCTTTGTACTTGACTTGGTGTGAGATATTTCTTTTGTTGTTGTGGGTGTGATTCAGGTATTTGGACCACAATCAGTTCTCAGGAAGAATTCCTGATGCTTTCTATAAACATCCCTTCTTAAAAGAACTGTGAGTGTCGACTTTTACTGATTAATTTCAGGTTTACCTCTTGAAACCATGTCTAATCTAGGGAAGTCGTTTATTTTCTCAGGTACATAGAAGGGAACACATTCCGGTCTGGTGTAAATCCCATTGGCGTCCACAAAGTCTTGGAACTTTCCGACTCCGAGTTCATATTTTAGGAATCAATAAATCTTTCTGGTTTGAATCTAGTCATGTTTTTTGTAGTTAGAATTTGGCCATCTTTGCAATATTAGCTACATTCAAGAATGTAAAATCAAATTAGTTTCCGAACATTTGAATAATTAAATGAATAACTATATGTATTTCTACAAATTAGTATGCCAACATATGCAATTCCATTATTTAACTTTATGTAAACAAAGTGGCTATGTTACTTTGGGGAATATGGAAGCGGCGAAACCGAAGGCAACCGAGGTCTGGATTGCAGCTGGAGTGTGCACAGGGGATGCTAGCACGGGATTGGAGGTTTGGCTTCAGAATCTGCTCTCGGGACCGAACAAGGAGTTGCGCTGCAAAGTGGCTATGTTACTTTGGGGAATATGGAAGCAGCGAAACTCTTTTGTCTGGAACGATGAGTGGCAACAACCGGCTGGTTTGATCAATTGCTGTGCTGGAATGCTGCGTGCGTGGAGGGATGCGCAGCAGCCAGCGGCATCTGGGAATGGCAGCTCGTCTTCGAGTAATGTAAGGTGGAAGAAACTGGGTACGGGAAGAGTCAAGGTGAACATTGATGCGGCTTTAGATATAGCTAGAGGAGTTCGAGCTTGGAGTTGGGTGGCAAGGAATGACAGCCGACAACGGCGAGTTTGTGAAAGCTGGGGGAGGTTCTTGCGAGGCAGGATGGGAACCGGAGGAGGCTGAGGCATACGGGCTAAGGGAGGCAGTCCATGCAGCTATAAAGGAAAGGTGATAGCGGGTGGATTTCGAAACTGATGCACAAACAGTTGTCCAGAATCTTAAAAAGGGTGGCGGAATGGCGTATAGGGATTTATTGATTGACGATATTCGCTTCCTACTAAAGGAAAAGAGTTCTTACGGAATCTCTTATTGCAAACGGTCTGCGAATCGTGTGGCTCATGCCTTGGCGAGAGCACATGTCAATATCTCAGATCTTAGTGTTAGCTATGAGATGAGTTTGTTCCTGATTGTATTGTAAGCCCGTTGGCTAATGATCTTCTATTAATATAAGTTGTTGGTTGTGTTTTCAAAAAAAAAAAAAAACTTTATGTAAACAAAATATTATTTGTAAATTCCAACATATGCAATTCAGTGTATTTAACAATTAGGAGACTCAATCGACAAGTTTTTGAACTGAAAGCAAATTGGCTGATTGCTCCCAAACCTGTAGTGGCACCATAAATTCTATGCGATTCACAACCGGACCAATAGTATGAATTCAGGTTGCTACATAAAGGGGGCTAGGACAGGATATAGACTGACCTGTTTCAAACCATGAACTTCATCCAACTGTGGTATGTGATTTCTCACCAGCAACAAACTCATGAACAACACCATTAATCTCCACAGAACTGCAACCTGGAGTCTTGTCTATACGTTCCATCATCATCATCTTCCTCACCCTCTTTGCACCGTCGTGTTTGCCTGTTGCATCATAAAGGTTTGAAAGCAAAACATAAGCTCCGCTGTGTCGTTCCAACTGTACGACCTTCTCTGCAGCTACCTCGGCCAAACGAACCTCTCCATGATTGACACAAGCACTTAACAATGCTCTCCATGCCACAGCAGCTTCTTCTTCTGTCTTGGGCATGCTAAGAACTAGACTTCTTGCTTCTTCAAGAAGACCCTCTCTGCTAAAGAGGTCTATCATACAACCGTAGTGTTCCCCTTTAGGCTGGATTTTATATTTATTGCACATTATGTTCAGTAACTTTAGACCTTCCCTTGCCATACTACCTGAACAACAACTACGACAAGCAGTTAACATGGAAATGAAGGTAACATCATCTGGTCGTGTACTACTATTTTGCATCTCTCGGAATAATCTTATTCCCTCTTCACCATTCCCATTCATTGCAAATCCAGAAATCATGGCATTCCAACAAATAACATCTCTGTCAGGTATTTCATCGAACAGTTTTTTGGCTAAATCCAAACACCCACATTTTGCATACATATCAACAAGAGCAGTGCCTAATCTCACATTCATGGGAATGCTCAACTTTTCCACATATCTATGCACCCATTTGCCAATGTCAATTGAACCCAGGTGGGCACAAGCTGAGAGTATGCTGACCAGAATCATCTCATCAGGCTCAACCCCAGTCATCTGCATTACCCTAAACAACTGCAACCCTTCTTTGAAACAATTGTTCTGTACATACCCAGATATCATGGACCCCCATACCCCTCTATCCTTCACTGGCGTCTCATCAAAAACCGATCTTGCTTCATAAACTTCACCTTTTCTTGAATACCCAGAAATCAGAACTGTCCAAGCCACCACGCAATGGCGAGGCATTTCATCAAACACGTACCTTGCAGATTCCATTTCACCAAGAACAGAGTACATACCAAGCAGACCATTCCCAACATAGCTGTCGACCAGGAATCCCAGTTTTAGGCAATGCCCGTGAATTGCTCCGCCAAGGTTGCAACTTCTCATATCAGCACAAGCTTTCAAGAGATAAGGGAGGGTGTAGTTATCCGGGCACATCCCGATTTCCAGCATGTGTTTGTACATTTCCACTGTTCTGGTCAGCTCACCCTTGAGAAAGAAAGCTTTGATCATGGTGTTGACAATGCAGATTGTGGGTTCTTGAATCCTGTTAAAGATTTTCAATGCATAGGAGGTTGTGATGGTGGCGCTTCCGTCTAGGTTGGGGTGTGAGCAGAAGAAGGCTACTAGCCTGCTGAGAGCATAGGTGTTGTGGGCAAGCCCACTTGTGAAGATCTGGCCATGAGCTTGCCTCAGTTGCTTCAGATTCTGGCATTTCTCCAGAAGCTTGAGGCATCTGCTGCTTGCTAACATTACCCTTCACATCAGGCGGTTTATGTTAACTCTCTTGTTGAGTACAAACCGCTGCTTCCCGCAAGGAAAGGAAGAGAGGTACTTTTCCAAGTCAGATTGTTTTTAGTTAATGCCTCACGTTTATTATGCGAGAGGAATTTTTTGATAGAAATTTTTTAGGAAAGGTCCTTATCTAAAAAATTTATCTATCAAAAAATTTATTTGAACTAAAAAATTATCCTCATCTAAAAAGTCTAGTTTATCCATAAAACATTTCAGCTAAAAATTCGATCGGGAAGACAGTCAAATAATTCTTTGAAGATAACTGCATCAAAGTAAACATTTAAAACGCTGTTATTTTCAAAAATTTATTTGATTGTCTTCCCGATCGAATTTTTAGCTGAAATGTTTTGTAGATAAACTAGACTTGATGAGGAACATTCCCTAAAAATTTCATAAAAAACTCCACCGGGAACGGCTACAAATGGCGGCGGCCGGACGGAGGATCCTGTCCCTCCGGCTGGACAGAATCTTTTCCGTATTATGTTATTCACTTATCTGGCATCCATTATCTACTACCCCAACAAATCTAAAGCATATTTTCACCCCCTCCACACCTATAAATAGAGCTCTTAGTTGAGAGGAAGAGAGAGAACTTCCAGTCGAAGAAACACTGCAGAAAAGCTCTGAAGAACTCCCAAGAGGCTCTAAACGATTCCTAAGAAGGGGAAGAGATCAAGCCAAAAATTTTATTAAGAATATACGAATAATCCTTCGTGATTTCGTTCATTCTTGATAACATATATCCAAAAGTTGAAGAACGTTTGAAGATCTGAAGAGCGAAGCTCGAAGATTCAATGATCTGAAGAACAATGCTTTGAAGATTCGAAGATATGAAGAACGAATCTTTGAATATTCGAAGATATCTGATCATATGAAGGTTGAATCAAGATTCAATTGAAGATCAAGCCATATATCCCGGGAGGCGCCCTTAAACAGAAGATCAAGCCATAAAACAGTCCTTTTGTTGAAGATCAAGCCACTTGAAAACAAGAGGCCCTTCAATTTGAATTCTTTATTAAAAAATTTTGAAGATGTGAGGAACGAAGATTCGAAGATTTGAAGATCTCAAGAACGAAGATTCGAAGATCTGAAGAACATTCGAATGTTTGAAGGATTAAAGATTTAATTTTTAATTAAATTCTTTAATTATATTTATTTGGAATTGCAAGTGAAGAATCAGAGGATTCATATTTAGAGATTGTACACAATATTCTAAAATATTATTATTTGCGATCGATTTTAAGTAAATACTTTAAATTTGTTTCACAACATTTTAAATTGTTTAGAGCAGAAGCAGAAGTTGGAGTGGTTTGGGTGAAAGTTTAGAATTACTTCTGGTGTTCAAGTTTACTACTGTAATCAATTTTTTTGAAAGATAAGGGAGACTAGCTTCTGAAAACTTATTAAAAAGAAGTAGAAGCAGAATTAGTTCGAAACACCCCTTATATCCACCCTATTTCTACAAAGAATAAATGTATTTACAAATTTTACCCAATGACAAAAAAACTAATTTTACACATAATTTTTATATACAATTGATTTTTTTGAAAGGAAAACTGATTATATCATATCAAGCAAACTTCTCAACGTACTTCCCCCCTTACAATGCCAAACCTCTTCAATCAAAACTCTAGGAGTACTACCCCCTTGCAACGCCAAACCTCCTCGTGAGGCTCCGCATAGCCCAAAGGGACCCCCAATCTCTGGCTGGACTTAGAATAGACCACCCGAAGGAGCGAGACTATTCGCAAACCATGTGAGAGTTTCGAAGCTTTTAACGGCCAAACAAGCCTTATCGTTTCCACCAAGATCACCATCCCAAACCAAGCAAGACAAAACAAAAAATTTGTAGTTCTTATTTCTTTTTTATATACAATTGATAAAAACCATAATTATGATGTTATAATAACTTCCAATTTTGAGTAATAATTATTGTTGGTCCAAAAATGGAGGTTGATAGAATTTTAGGAAAGCTATGACTTAACACACAAATAGGAATCAAAGTGGCAAACTATAAGATCGAGAAGTGATTATAAGCTATGTTGCACGGAAACGCGAAAACCGGAAGGAAACGGGAAACGGGAAACGTTATTTTTTGCTCAAAAGAGGCTTATTTGGAGAGTTTCCAAAGAGTTTCCGAGAGTTTCCGAAACGGGAAACGTACTCTTTCCCGAGAGTTTCCGTGCTACATAGATTATAAGTAGAAACCCAGATATAACTATATAAGAAATAGTGTTCCTGTCGTTAGTCGTTACCTTTAAATGTTCTGTTAATAAACGAGAAGATTAACCTCATCCATCGGCGGAGCTAGGGTTGGACCAACCTAGGTCCTAGCCTACCCCAAAATTTTAAAATACCTTAATTTTCAGTGTAAAAAATTCTAATCTAATTTTTCTTTCAAAAAAATTATTTGTACCGGCTCAGTGCTCTGGCTCCGCCCTTGGCGCCCTCACCGATAAGTCGGCCGGGCTGGCGGTTGTCTTCCATGAGCTCCTTCTTTGCTAGGCTTGTAGGTTGTCATCGTTGGACTAGCTCGTAGCTTGTACATCATGGATGGACGTGGTTTGAGACACTTTTTCAAATAATAATAGCACGAGACGTAAATTATTTTCCTAATCTTGTCTCATTTAAATGGGGTCATACACTATTTGAGTATGTTTGAGATGTCTCATAGTAAAAAAAAGTTAAAAAACCAATAAAAGTTAAGAATGATACTGGGATCGCAACAGAGCGGTCTCTTTAACCCCTATGTATCTATTGACTTATTTGGTGACAAACTTTTGTGCAAACTTTTGTGTCACTGAAGTGACTGAACTTAGTCAACATGTTGGAACATCTCCCATGGTTAATTTGGAGGACTTCTTTGTAATTATTTAATCCAACTTACTATTGGAGAAATGGAGCATAACCTTTCATTTTACTTGAGAAAGCTAATTAACAAAAATGAGTTATTTGTTATTTGTGTGCACTAAATTTTTTTGCATGCAAATGAAATAAAAATTAATTAATTAAGGACAAATGTGAAATTACTTGAAAACGAGCCCAACGTAAATGTTGTTTTCTTAAGACGTTTTACCCGACACACGTAACAAACTTCTTCCAGAATAGAGCGGTTCTTAATTCCCAACAGGACTTTGGTGAACTAAAAGATGCGACGAAGTAAGAGTACATAAATATGGAAGATTTGTTGTTAATTTCGAATGGTTCAAAATAAGAGTCCGGTTGGATATTTATAGTGCTCTGACTAGGATTCTCTAACCCAAAAGACATCTCTTAAAAAGAAAGGTCATGACCTTTCTTTCAAGGAGAAATATTGTATCTTTTCTGTTTAATGGTTTATCCGAAAAAGTAGCAAAAATAATCTCTAGCTTTTAGACATGTGAACTATTAAACACCTGAAGTTGTCCGTAAAAGACCACGACCCGACATGGCTGGCCGAACGGCAGCAACGTGCGTGCATGAGTAGTTAATTCCACGCTCACCATATACGGGTTTCACTGCACAACAAAATTTCGGTGACCCGAGAGCCCAACCCAATAGCTAAGAAAAACTTATAAAAATGCACTTCCTTAAGTCTCCATTTTCGGTGTGGGACAAAGTCTTTTTCTATAACTGTTTTTTTGGCAAGTTCGGAGACCAATTTCTTATTCATTTTTAAATGGGTTTGAACCCTTGTATATATGGTTGTGTTCACCTTTCCGAGTACTATACATGAGGACTTGGTCCTTCCACAAACGAGTTGTGAGTTCATTAAATTTTATGCTCAAAGGTGGTAATTATATACGTATATCAAAAAGGTGGTAATTATATATATATTAAAGAAAAACCATTTTTCCAACCCTAGCTATTAGCTTAAAGCAAGAAAATGATAAAACACAGTATCATTAATAATTAATGAAGAAAATATTTTTATCACTAACCGATGAAATACATTTTACTTGTAAAAGAATTTTGAAGTAAATACTTATGAAACAAATCAAGCCATAAAGACAATTAACTAATCTGTCCATAAGAATGAGAGCACAAAGCTACAAACTGACCGTAGTAGTACTTTATTAATTCCATGAAACGTTTGTATAAAATTGGGCATAAAAAAAAGAATCTTAGCTAATTGTTCACAAACTGGTAATTATATACATTAAAAGGTGGTAATTATATATATTAAAGAAAAACCATTTTTCCAACACTAGCTATTAGCTTAAAGCAAGAAAATGATAAAATACAGTATCATTAATAATTAATGAAGAAAATATTTTTATCGCTAACCGATGGAATACATTTTACTTGTAAAAGAATTTTGAAGTAAATACTTATGAAACAAATCAAGCCATAAAGACAATTAACTAATCTGTCCATAAGAATGAGAGCACAAAGCCACAAACTGACCGTAGTAGTAATTTATTAATTCCATGAAACGTTTGTATAAAATTGGGCATAAAAAAAGAATCTTAGCTAATTGTTCACAAACTGGTAATTATATATATTAAAAGGTGGTAATTATATATATTAAAGAAAAACCATTTTTCCAACACTAGCTATATATTAGCTTAAAGCAAGAAAATAATAAAATACAGTATCATTAATAATTAATGAAGAAAATATTTTTATCGCTAACCGATGGAATACATTTTACTTGTAAAAGAATTTCGAAGTAAATACTTATGAAACAAATCAAGCCATAAATAAAGACAATTAACTAATATGTCCATAAGAATAAGAGCACAAAACCACAAACTGACCGTAGTAGTACTTTATTAATTCCATGAAACGTTTGTATAAAATTAGGCATAAAAAAAAAGAATCTTAGCAAATTGTTCACAAACTGGTAATTATATATATTAAAAGGTGGTAATTATATATATTAACGAAAAACCATTTTTCCAACACTAGCTATTAGCTTAAAGCAAGAAAATGATAAAATACAGTATCATTAATAATTAATGAAGAAAATATTTTTATCGCTAACCGATGGAATACATTTTACTTGTAAAAGAATTTTGAAGTAAATACTTATGAAACAAATCAAGCCATAAAGA